ACACGTACCTGAGAAGTTCAGGGAGGAATTCAGGTAGGGCCACAGCCAGGGTTGAAAAATCCTCAGAGAGCGTGGTTTCTTTCCGTCTCTCAGCTCTGTCCTCTGCAGTGCTGGCTTTAGTTTCAGGCCCCAGGTGGTATCAGAGTGGCAGCCGCAGCTGCAGACATCACATCCTCTTCCTAGTGTCCAGGAAAAGAGAGGAGGTGCCTTTGGGTAACACCAGTGTAGGGAAAGTGCTGGCTTTAGTTTCAGGCCCCAGGTGGTATCAGAGTGGCAGCCGCAGCTGCAGACATCACACCCTCTTCCTAGTGTCCAGGAAAAGAGAGGAGGTGCCTTTGGGTAACACCAGTGTAGGGAAAGTGAAGCTTCTTTCCTCCAGGAGCTTCTACAAATGTCCCCTTGCTTTTGCCTGCCTCTTCTGGGGTCATGGACTCAGATCTGAGTCAGTCCCCCAGATCACATGGCTGCGAGGAGGGCATGGGTAGGTTCCCTAAAGCAAAAAATGGATTTTGGAGAGGCAATCAACAAGGACCACTGTAGCAAACGATGGCACAGTCTCCCCACCCTACCCCCCTGACCCAGACAGAAAGTCCAGGGTTTTGTTTCTGAACTGTCTGTCATGCTTGTGAGTCAAGACAATGCATTGATGAACAGCTGCCCTTGCCAAGTCAGAAAGTGCTACCATGGAAAGCCCTCTCTGGAAGCGAGTGCAGACTTTATTTTATGAACCACATTTCATCTTCCTTACATGTGGGGCACCTTCTGACTCAGAGGGCTGGCCGTGTGCTTCTGTTCTTACTAGTAAATAGGTTTGTGATTTTATTTGAGATTAATTTTTATACACAAAGTTTTTTTCTTTAACGTGCTTGCCAGATTAGACTTTTGTGCTGTTCTCCTAACTTTTCGCCATTTGAAAGTACAAAGAATTAGGATAAGTGTGATTTGCTAGCTCCGTAATTCTTGAACCTCTAGCACTTTTCCTTACCTTGTGAAAGCAAGATCTTTTTTCTCCAAAGATGTGCCATGGGTCATACTTCTAGAACAGACTATATGCTATTTCCTCTTCTAAATATCTGTCATGTTTATGTGTGAAGGATACTGATGTATAAGCATTTCTTTAGGTTCCAGAAAAGAAGGATGGTACTAAAAGTTATTGATGTGTCTTATTTATGCCATGCATTAGTAAACTCCCTTCATATAAAATTGGAAAAATTATAGGATTTTATTCAGTAGTCTTGTATTCAAATCCTATATTCTGCAATTATTGTGTGACTTAGACCAAACTAGTTAACTTCTCTGAGCCTTGGTTTCCTCTTATTGAACAGGGGTTGATGATTCGTACCTCCCATTTGTGGATCAAGTGAAATGTCTGGGAAAGTGCTTTGTAAGTGGAAAGGCTCTCTGCAGAGTGGGGTGGTCTTGCCTAACCTGGCCAGCATGGTGCCCTTTCCAGCTATTTTAGTCATGCCAGGATGCAGAACAATGTGACCTCCTCATTGTTCCAAATATGGGGCAGGTGAGGTAAATTTTAGTCATTTCCCATCCAGTAAAAGATATCCAATAAGTTCTTAGATATGTTTCCCTTGTAAATTAGGTTGGTAAATTAAAAACCAAGGAAGAAAAGGTGAATTGTTTTTCTTCTATGTTTTCCTCTCAACCAGTTTGTTTTGTATTAGTTTCCTAATTAGTGTTCCACCATTGCTTTGTGTAATCCAATCCCAGTTAGCCATAGTATGGTGAGGAAGGTCAGCTTTTAAAAATGCCAACAGTATCCAAATGGAATCTGTAAAAATAATCCTTGTCTTGGGTACTTTATCCCTGGACTTCTGCTTTACTGTTGGTGGCTTCATAGGCCAAATATTATTAGTTCTGCAGCAATTCATGCCAAATGAAGTATGTTTCCTCTTTACGTCAGGTGCCTTGAACAATTGTTGTTCTGTAGGACGCTTTTTTTTTTTAATTGGCACACATTAGACGCACAATTTATTTTTGGGTTAATGAAAACATACATTACCTATTGATACATTATCTACTTTTTTTTTTTTGCAGTAGGCCAGTATGGGGATCTGAACCCTTGACCTTGGTGGTGTTAGCACCACGCTCTATGAGCCAACCAGCCTGTAGGGCACATTTTATAAGATGACATTTGATGCAAAATTTCAAGTTATGAGTGAATGCAGTGACAGCTTATTGGGTCACTTTTCTGGCTGACTGTGCCCTCAGAACTCTTTAACATATTTTAAAAACCTTTTATGTGACCTGGAATTTCTCTGACTGCATAGATGATTCCTTAGAATCACAGATGACATCTCATTTTTAGGTGGTGACTATGGTGTGGAGTAGAAAGCTGTTTGTATTCCAGGAGAACCGAATTGTTTTACAAATGAGCAAACTCTCAGGCTCAAAGAAACCGCCTGGTCCAGGGTTCGGCAGCACACTCGCAGCAGGGACCAGCACTCAGTTTCTTCACTCCAGCCCACCATGGCCTCTGCTTGCTATGTTCATAAATAAATGTGGTTTTAAGGAGGGGAAGGGAAGGGAAATTTTTGCTGACCTACTACATGTCAGGTGCTACTTCAGGTACTTGACATTTATTACCTCGCTTAGTCCTCAAGGTGACCTGCTAAGGATTGAAGGTATCCCCTTCAGGCCACTCCCTCCTCTCTGCCAGAGTTTGGAACCAACAGAAGGAAACGTCTGTCTCCGGCAGATGGAAGATGTAGTGAATAATGTGGCTCAGATCTGGCCAGAGGGCTGTGAGTCCTCCCCTGGGTTGGGTGGACTTAGCCCAGTCCCTGGCCTGGCTGGGCAGCCAGAGGCCTCTTTCATGGGGAGAGGACCCTTTTAGTGCGTGCAGAGAGCAGAACAGAATGTGTACTGTGCAGACAGGCAGGCCCAGGAGCAGCGGCTGAGCAGTGTGCACCCTGGTTCCCCTTCCCAGTTTACCACCTTCCTCAGGAGGAGCAGGGGAGGAAGCCCCTCTCCATGGAAAATGGAACAGGGAAGGGAGGTGCCCTCCAGCACCCAACATAATCAGGTACTTCTTGTGTTTTCTGTCTTTTAAGTAGAAAAGTTGAGGTCCAGGCAGATCAAGTAATTTGCGCAAGTTGTACAGCTAGTGCGTCCTTCAGACTGAAGTCAGGTCTTTACACTACTTGAGAAAGTGTCTCAGGAGCAGACTGACTGAGAACCCACCACAGGCGAGTCCCTTTCAGTTGGGTGTGCGAGAACATGAGAGGCACACGAGATCGGCACATCCTAGTCCCAAGGCAGTGTAACAGGTGTTGTTCAAATGTTCACAAGGGGCTGGGATTTGCAGCAGTCAGTGATGAACTGTGTAGCCTCAACTATGTAGTTTTGAAAGATTTAGAAGCCGAGTTTGAAATTCAACTTTTGAGAATTTATGCATTCACCACCTACTGAGAGCCATGCGTTGAAATACTGGATGCAGTGCTGGTCTGGAGACAGATAAGGCCCTGTCTTGCCAAGTTCACAGCTGAATTGAAACATAAAAAATTACATGATTTTATCCTGTATTATACAAGTATGATGAGGGGTGCACACAGAGAGAAGGGAGTCAGAGAAAGCATGTTGGATATGATGCTTAGTTTGAAGAATTTGGTTTGTAGGCTCTGTCTACACTGCCTTGTGTTATTGTGGGCAATGGAGGTGAGTCACATATGTGACCTGAACTCGCCCAGGGCTGGGGACTGTTGTTGAGTGCCATGGTGACACTTTGCATGGGGTAGGATTGCACTAGCTGTCTGAGACCCTCCTGGCTGAAAGAGGTGGTGATTTTGTGGATTCTGTAAGGTAGTCTTTATTAGTCAGTGTAGGTTAGGCTGTACTGTGGCAGAAAAATTAACCCTGAAATCTCAGAGGTTTGCTATGCAAAGGTTCATGTCTCACACAGGTTTGGTGCAGGTTAGGCAGTTTTTCAGGGCAGTGGCCCTCCTCAAGGTTGCTCAGTGACCAGGCCACGTCCATCTGGTACTGTGCCTTCTCAGCCCCTGGCCTCCAGGATTGCCATGTGGTGGAAGGAGAGAGCCGAAGGCTGGCGCATTGCTTTGAAGTGCTTTGTCTCAGAGGGCCCTGCATGGCTTCTACTCACAACCCACTGGCCTGTGCTACCCAGGTGGCCTTGCCTTCCTGCTGGAAGGTGGGGATGGGGGGAGCACGGTGTATATCACGATCAGTTAGTGTCATTACCAGACCTTCCAATCTTATGCTGGTCTCAGGCCCAGGAGTGTTCCAGATGGTAACTACTATCTTGCCAAATTGGCCACAAGGGAGGTCTTACAGTGCTGTGGCTTAAGAGCAGAGTGTCTCCTGTCGTCATCAATTTTCAGCCATGGGATTTTGGGCAATATACTTAATTACTTTTGTGTAGTTTTCTCATTGATGAGGTAGAGACAATAGTAATAGTACCGAAGCTAAGAAGGTAGTTGTGACGTGTAGTTGAGAGAGGACATATGAAGCAGTCGTTCACACAAACTAAGCAGGGGGAGCTGTCAGCCTCCTTTGCAGTGCCTTGTGCTCTCATGGAGCAGGTCGTGCTCCCACTTGCTGTGGGCAGGCCCACCAGGAGAGGCAGAGGCAGAGAGGGGAGAGCCTGTGCTGAGTGGTGGGCACTGAGTGCCCATATGTCCCACGGGGAAGGTGGTGGCTCATCTGCATTTCACTGACAGCTGGTAAGTAGCACAATGAGATTTCCACATGGCCTTTCTGACTCCCAACTGTCCTCGGGCCCGATTCATGGAGCAGAGACATGGTTGCCCCCTGAACCTAGGGAGTTATTTGCCCTCCCCGGGGCAGTCCTGAGTTAGTGCGGGTGGTGTTCTTCTGCTGCGTCCTGCTGAATCTGAGTGCTTTTTCTCCCCTCGGTCTATCTTCTGTTTTGACTGATGTATTGTTTTTCTAACACACGATGTCTGGTAGTGTTTGTCCTGAAACCAAGCTAACAAGGCAGTTGAAGTGTTTGTGTCCATTTGAAACAACAGGCATGTGGAGCTGTTGGGTCTTCCTGCCAGCCTCCGGCCACAGAAGATGAAAAGCTTGCTGGGCCAGAGCATGTCGACCAAGAGTCCCTTCATCTATTCACCAATTATCGCGCACAACCGTGGAGAAGAGCGGAACAAGAAAATAGGTAGGGCCACTTATCCTGGCTTGCTGACTGTGCCCTGCCACCCGATTTCCAGCGGCTTTTCTGGATTTTTAGAACAGAATTTCAGGCCACTTCATTCATGTGCATGTGTGCACACATACCTGTGCATGTGTGTATGTCTCCTCAGATAAATTTATTTGGTTTTCTGCCTTTGTCAGGCATATATGCCCATAGATCTGACTTTTAAAAATCTACTCCATAAAAGGTGATTTTGTAGACATTTTAGAAACCAGAAAGACCTCTGTTGACTGAGACTTTTACAAACTACAAAAGAGTGATAATTGGAGAGCAGTGACTTTCCAAGGCCTGAATTGACTTCTGAATCATCAAAGAAAGATTAAGGGTTGAATTATGTTCAGGATTGACTGCGGGACGAGGACATTGTACTATTTTCTCTCGTGAACACTGGCGATCAAGATAGCCGATCCTGGGATTAAACCGTGCTGCAGAGAGATTGGGAGAGGAACATGTCTGAGCTCCTGGCCGCTTCCCAGCCCTAACCTGCTCACGTCTTTCCTGCAGCAGACCCAGGACTCAGCATGTGCCATCGCCTGCCCTGTCCCTCGGTGTCCTTCCCAAAGCCTGGCTATGGCACCTCCTCTCTTGCTGCCACAAGGCCTCTTGCATTTGTGATTGTGACTGCCACCATAACTAGTCTAAAGGCTTAGAGGCTGGCTCCTGTTTGGCGATAGCTCATCTTATAGGAGTGTAAGTAGAAGATCTGAGAAAACTTTTGCTGTCTGCTTTTGATATTCAGTGCTTTCTACTCTTTTTGTTTCTTTATTTTATTCTTAATTTCTATACTCCTGATTTAGGAGAGAGGCATCCTGACTCCTCCTTCCATGAATGACACACTTCTCTCCAGAATCAGGCTCCCCATTGCACTTGCAAGACCACCCATACCTGCATCGTAGGCAGAGGTGCTCCCTGACCCACCGCCTCACAGTCCTCTCCCACGCTCCATCTGCCTTTCATCCTTGCTGCCTGCCACTCTTGCTTCTGCTGCTCCGGTCCAGCCACCATGGCCCCTTTCTGACCTTTGAACATGATGAGCTTGTCCCAGACTCAGAGCTTTTGTGCTGCTGTGCCTTCTGCCTGGCACTCATCCTCCGCTATTCACATGTCCCCTGCTCAGAGGGGTGTTCTGTGATCCCAGCACCTCACAGGTCACTTCTTCTGTCCCCTTTAGCTTTGCTGCTTGGGTTTTTCTTCATAAAACTTCTCTCCAACTCAAATATAAGTTTGTCTGTTTATGTTTTTCTCTTGCAACATGAGGCCAGGAACTCCGTCTTGCTCCCTGCCATATCCCAGCACCTGGAAGAGCATTCTGTGCTCTGCAGGGCACCGGGGAATTCAAGGCCAAAGGGACAAATAATGGGCATTCTGCATAGCATGTACTCTTAGTGAGCATTTCTTATATAATACTTGCACTAGAGTTCCTTAGCTTCTATAAGGATCTCATAACAAACTTTATTAACAATTTTTAAATGATCTGAACACCTTAAAAACTGTTTCCTAAGAGGTAAAATTGTCTGCTGTGTTAAAGGGCAATCACTAAGGTAGGAGCCTTGTACTTTTTTAGAAAAAAGACCTTGCACTTTTTAAAATGGTAGTCATTTCTTTTATTCAAATTGTACTTTTTAAGAGGCTATCATATATTAGCTCATTTAATTTTCCCAATATTTTTGGAGGAAATAGTTTTTAATCTCCTTTTTGTAGATGAGGAAACAAACTCAGAGAGATGACTTCCTAAAGGTTACTCAGCTAGTTAGTTGGAGACTAAAACTTGCCATTGACTTCTCAGACCAAGCATACTGCACTTGTTAAGACTCTCTGGTTTTCTCTAATGTGCACACAACACATGGCATAGGCTTAAAATAACTGTGTCATATGTCCCTACCCCCAACAGATTTTCCCATGCAGTTTATGCAGGCAAGACCCAAACACAGGAGAAGGTGAATATCGAAACAAGATGTAAATAAAAGTTCTCTAAAATTGTAGAACATTACTACTGTACCTGGTTACTTACCCACTGGACTTGAATAGTCAATAAGCGCTGGACCAGCAGGGAACAGGGACCCCACGGGCTCTGGGGAAGCCCTTCTGGAGGCTCAGAAGCAGCCTTGCCTCTGAGGAGCAGAGTGGGATTCCTGAGTGTGGCTCCGAATGTTCCAGCTGTTCACTGTTAAAATGAGAAGGAGGTAAAAGAAAAGACATGGGGTAATGTCCTTGAGAAACGGGAGCTGATGCTGAGTTTTGGTAAACTTCTAAAAATCTGAGCCCGAAGTAAATAGCATACTGCAGAGTGTGTGTGTGTGTGTGTGTGTGTGTGTCTATGTATGTGTGAATCTTTGAAATTCCATTTTTAGTCTACTGATTTTCAAAGGCAGCCCCGACCGTATGGAGGTGATGGGAAGTGTCACCTGGGTGGGCAGTGAGGGTAGCCAGGAGAGGCCAGATGGCGTTCCCCAGACCCACCCCAACATACACTGCATTGAGCAGGGGAGAGTAAAATGGATTCTGTCCCTGCTGTGTTGGGGTCATCGCTGCCCAGCCTCCTGTGGGGACTGCTTCTTCCATCCGTGCATATTACTAGCTCCATGACGTTGGGCACGCTGCTTTCTGGGCACTTCTTTCCCTAAGTGGACCTGGACCAGTTAAAGAATTAATGAGCCTCTTCTCTGTTGGACCTTTTGGGAGTCTCTGGCTGCTGTCTTTGGGTCTCATTAGGGTTGGGGATAAGCTTTTTCCCCTAAATAACTTTTAAGGAAAGTTTCACTCATTTTTAGAGAACAATTTGTGGAGATGATTTGAGAGACTGGAGGTGTGTGACTCCTCTTCTCAGGACTGGCTGTGTGATTTGCGGGGCCCAGTGCAAAATGAAAACACAGGGTCCTTTGTTCAAAAATTATTAAGAATTTGAAACAGCCACAGCAAAGCATTAAACCTAATGCCAGGGTCCTCTGAGTGTGGGGTCCTGTGCCACCAGCTGTGTGGGTCTCACTCTTTATTTTTTCCTCTTCAATCTTAAGACATTGTTGAGGCTTCTTTTTATGAAAATAATACTCTGCATTGGTTGAAGAGGGCTAAGCAAATATGACCCTGTGATTCTTATGGCAATTGCTGCCACTGCCGGCATTCTCGTACTCCCTGTTAACAGATGACAAGACGGAGACCGAGCAGATAGGTCGCATCGCTGGAAAGTGGCAGAGCCCGGTCTCCGTCGCTAGATTTTATGAATGCCCAGGAACTTTTTCATTTGTAACCTAGCTTCTCACTACAGTACGAAAAACCTGCTCATCTGGGCTGAGGACAAATTCAGTGGGTGATGTAAGATTTTTTTTCTGAGATATAACAGAAGGTTCAACCAAATTGTATGTAATTTATTGAATACCTGTGGGTAGGAAAGTGTAATTTATATTGTACAGCTTCTAATATCTTTCTGGCAATATACTGATTGGTGAATACCTGCCTTGAGGCTTGAAGAACCACCTGAATTTAACCTGGATTTCTAATCTCTGTAAATGAATCTTTGTGTATAACAGGGTAGGTATCATCACAGCAGGAGGTGTAGAGTATTAGAGATGAAGAAACCCTTGAGGGCCGTTGTCGAGACCATTTTCCACTCTAACTCGGAGTCATTTGCCAGTCTTTGTGTCTGTGTGTCGGCCAGTGTGGCCATCATCTGAGCTACACTGCATGCAAGGGTGATTGCAGTTCAATCGATGGGCTTGAGCACGGTGGGATGCAGTGTTGTCTGTCGTTGTGATAGGAGTTTGTGGCATTGCCAGGCTTAGTGCCATGGTTGACGGCTGCGCCAGAGGCAGCGTGGTGGCCTGGAAAGGCCATGGCTGTCAGATGGACCTGGGCTGCAGCTTGGCCCTGCAGTTCTTACTTCCTACTGTGCGACCTCAGACAACTGATTGGCTTCCCTGGGCTGCAGTTGTGCCGTCCACAGAATGGAGACATTAGAAGCCAACCCAGAGGGTATTTCTGAGGATGAAGTGAGACAGTGTTCCTGAAGTCCCTGGCAGCCATTCAGACAACATTTTCAGTAGCAATTGTGTGTCCTGTACTAGGTAGTGGGGATGCAGTGATAAATCAGGAGCTCCTCCTGCCAGGTGGGTCCATATAGTGTAGTTGAAAGAGACGGACTTGTCAACAAAAGCAACCACCGAATGCTGCTGGTGCACAGACAGCAACATGCACAGGGTGCAGTGCCCACAATGGGAAGGGCCTGGGACAGAGGGGTGTTGCATAGCTGCCGATTCCTGTTCCTTTCCACTGGTTGCCGGACAAAATATCAAGGAAGAGGCACCACTGGGTGCTTTGACACACTAAGGGTTGGGAAGGGGATTATCTCCTTCATTCAAACTACAGTAACTTTTCATACAATCAGTAATTTATCTTAGATTTACCTTTAGTAGACAAAGATCACATCAGTATAAATTATCCCTTTCAGTATAAATTATCCTAGAAAATGATTTTTAAAACATGGTTATTTTTTGACCATGAAAGAGAAAACAATTCTTTAGTTATCAGGCATTGCAACTTGTTTTAAAAAAATGACTTTTTCCTCTGTGATGAGGAGGGGGCTGGGTGCTAACCCCTACACACACTGGCTGGCTGATGGATGCCACATGAGGGCAGGGGCTGGTGGTGCGAGTGCAGTATGCTCTACTACTGACTTCTGCAAACGAGGGGGGAGGGTGAGCCTCTCCCCTTGAAGGTTCTCAAGGCTGATGGGCCTGGGGAGGACGTGGGAAGGGGAGATGGGATGAAAGAGGGACAAGACCTTAGTTTCTGGAGCCATTGGGGGCAGAGCAGTAGAATCAAAAGAGCATAGGTTTTAGAACCAGACAGACTTGAGTTTGAATCTTAGCTCTCTCGTTTATCAGTGTCATGAGATGGGCAGGCAGTTCAACCTGTCGGGTGGAGTTTTCTGTAGCATGAGAATAGTATTTGTTCTACGCACCAAGTAGAACTTGGTCATTCACTGTATTGTGCGGAGGCTCGGATGAGTACGTGACTCTGCAAGCATCTTATCAACTGACTCACCTTGTGGTCTCATTATTAGTTCATGCAATTCGAAGATGTCATTCTGGGTCATATGTCATAGGTTTGGAAGAGCTAGTCTTAATCTCTGTACAGGGTGCCTAGTACAAAGTGTTTCAGAAAAGCTGTGTTTTGAAAACATGATTATGAAAGCTCTGTGAAAGCTGAAGAACTCTGGTCAACAAATCTTAATATCTACTCGAGAAAAAGCCCTTCATTGCCTTTCTAGCCTCCCATGTCTGCTCTAGGTACCTCTTTGAGTCCACAGACATGGCTTGAATTGCTGTCGCAGCACTCACTAGCTGTGTGATTCCCAGGCAAATTTTTCAACCTGTCTGGACCTTGAGTGCCTGTCCTGTGACAGTGGGTCATTATACCTGTTTCACAAGGTCATTATGAAGAGTAACGAGATTACCTGCTTGAAAGTGCCTCACACCAAGCACATGCCCAACACATGTTAGTTGATTCTGAACTTCTGGTTTGCCTGGTGGAGTGTCTGCAAGGAAGGGGAGGGGCAATGGAAATGGGGATGGGTGCTGTATTAGTTGTTTATTATTTTGTAACAAGTTATCACAAACTTAGTGTCTTAAAACAACACAAACTTATGTTCTGTTTGTATGGGTCAGGAGTTCTAGCTGGGTCCTCTGCTCAGGGATTCATAAGGCTGAAATCCAGGTGTCAACTGGGGCTGTGTGCCCATCTGCAGGGTCAACTAGGCAAAGGTCTGTTTCCAAGCCACCTCAGGTGGTTCTTCATTCATTGCCTTGTGGTGGCATCACTGAAGCCCCTGTTTTCTTGCCAGCTATCAGCTGGGTGTTCTCAGCCCTTGGAGGCTGCTCTCGGTCTTTGCCACGTGGTCCCCTCCTTAGGCCCTTGAAGATGTGGTCCCCTTTAAAGGGCTCACCTAATTAGATTAGGCCCATCCAAGACAAGCTCCCTTTTGATGAGCTCAAAGTCAAGTGATTTGAGACTCTAATTGCATCTGCAAATCCCTCCAACTTTGTTATATAACATGACCTAATCATCACCTTCACACTCAAGGGGAGGGGATTACACAGGGCATGCACATCAGGGCTGGGGGGCTTGGAGTGCATTAGAATTCTGCCTCCTACAGGTGCTGAACTTTAGCTGACCTGAGAGTGCACAGGGAGGAGAAGCCCCCCTCTTTTCTCACAATCTTAGGGGACACAGAGGAAATCATACTCATGCCACTTACAAGAGACCCCAGTGCCATCTTCCCAGTTGCCAGCCTCTGCCAGTGAAGTGCTGTGTGCCCTGTGGCTCTGCACCGAGCACAGTGCCACTGGATTGGTCTTGGCCTCGTGAAGCTGCACTTGGCATGCTGGCATGAATGCAGCCCCCCGAAGATGGCTAGAAACGTCTTTCACACAGCATCAAAGTGGCAGTGGTGACTTGCTTTGCTTTGTTTCAGAGAAAGCTGGCAGAAAAACCAGCTTTGATTGTTTATCTCAAGATGATCATGATGTTCACTGCTTCACCGGGAAAATAAATTGTCAGAGAAATAATCTGAAACCATGAGAAAAGTGCAGAAATACCAACTAAAAAATGGATTCTCTTGTGTGTGTGTGTATTTTCTAGATTTCCAGTGGGTTCAAGGAGATGTGTGTGAGGTTCAACTGATGGTGTATAACCCAATGCCGTTTGAACTCCGAGTGGAAAACATGGTACGTACCCCTAGTCATTTGACCTTTGTGGCTAAAACACCGACTTACCTTTAAAGTATGTTTTTACTTCATATTTGAGGCACACATACTATGACATATGTTTTTATGTTAGTTTTGCCAAAGATCATAAACTTACTGTGAGTGAAGACCATGACTTTTTAGTCATTCCTGTGTCTTTAGGCTTCCTACTCAATAAATATTAGAATCAGCGAAGAAGCCTCCCTTTTGAATACACATTGAGCTTAGTTGATTGGATGTAATATTTGAAATAACTGTTTTGAAGTTTACGTGGGATTAGCACAGGTTACAAAGTCTGTGTTATGCCTGCTGCTCAATAATATCAGCGTTGTTTTATTGCTGCAAGAGGGTAAGATGATCAAGGCCCAAGGGAAAAACAAGCTGTAGAAGAAGAGAATAAGTTACTGTCCTCCTACTACGGGTTTTCTCAGGGTCCGAATCCTGGTGTCCTGCTTCTGTGTTCTTTGTAGTGTGTTAGAGGTTGACTTTGTAGTTGTGTTTGTTGGAACTGCTCACCTAATTCCATGGTCAGGGGAGGGGGATGTGTACTGGCTCTCCAAGCTAACTCTCTCATTTTCCGAGAAAATTCAATGCCCCCACCCCCGTGTGGACTCCGTTCCTGGAGTCTTCTCTGTCTTGCTATCTAGTACTGCTGTGTAGCTCCTCAGTGACATGCAAGGCGTGATGTTGCCAGGGCTGACATTTTCCTTTAGAGCTTCACGATTGGGTTCAGGGTGAGAGGCAGGCTCTTCATGCCAGCATCTTGCTCAGTGCCCATGCCACATGTCAGGCCCTGGTGAGGCCCTGAGGGGATGGGGATGAAAGGACTTGTGTTGGGAGTACACAGGGTTCTGCAGGACTGATGTGCGGGGCATCTGCCTGTCCATGGGTTTCGGGGAAGGCTTCCTGGGAGAGGTGGAAGGGCTCAGCTGAGGTGGCGAGGCCCAGCGGTGGCCTGCCAAGCAGACTGGGTAGTAGTTATATAGAAGTGGTTTGGGCTTCCAGCATGTGGCATGCTGTTCCAGAACCTGTTGGAGCTCTTAGACCCCAGCTGAATGTTAAGCTTGCAGTGTCAAGGCTAACTCAGGGGCGGTGGGGGGGAGTCATCTTCTTCCCGGTGTGCAAGGACATTCTAGCCCCAGCATTTGGCTTTTGGGTTAGGCCTTTCCAGTGGTTTTCTGTCTCTTGGCCTAAACAGGGAATAGCAGATTTTTAGAGAATTTTCCCCCAATTGATTTAAAGGATCATATGCCTGCTACTCTTTCTTACACATTTCTTTTGGTCTTAAAAAGTAGTTTTTATTTTTATCTGGTTTAAAAGTAATATGTGCTTACTGTAAAAAAAAAAATTAGGAAGAGCAAAGAATAAAATAAAAAGCACCACTTGGAGACAGCCCACAAATCATGGTCCAAAATTTAAAAACTAAATTATGAAATATTTCAAACATATGAAATGTTACAGGAAATGATAAACACTTGTGTATCCACTTTCCACATTTAACAATTGGTCACATTGCTTTAGCTACTTTAAAAATAAATAAAAGCCAATGTACTTTGCCTAGAGATAGTAGCCATGTGATTGGTTTCCCTGTTTCTACCCTTGCATACTACATCTGTTCCGCACACAGATCATTTCACACTTGTGCTCAGAGTCTGGGCACCAGGTGCTCTCACTGCTACTGGAGTGGCTTGGATTCTGGGTACGCCCTGTAGACAGATTTAGGAAGAGTGTGCCTGCATATATATGTATGCTTACATACATGCATGTACACATATGTACACATGCACATATATGCATATATGCAATAGAAATGCACATTTTATCCATCCTGAGTTCACAGTGATACTTCCAATGATAACCCCTCTCCACAGTGTTCTGCCTTTCTGCATTCCACATTTGCGTCCTTTCTTTCAGTGTGGGATCCTTGACCTGACTACCCCAGAAAACAAACCCACTGAAAAGAATCCAGCGTTTCTCCCTCCATTGAGGTCCTCTTTAATTGACTTCCGCAGTGTTTTGTATCTGTAAATGAAGTCTTGTACATCAATCATTACATTTATTTCAAGATTCTTCATGTTTTTGATCTTTTGTTAATGGTATTTTTTTTTTTTTTACATTTTGTTTTCCGATTGTTTATTGCTAGATTGTGGAAATAGTTTGCATTTTTTTGCTGACTTTGTTATTTTGCTAAATATGCTTGTTCAAGTTTCACTGTAGATTCCATAAAGTTTGCTCTGTTCATGGTTTGTATGTATGTATGCCTTTTCTTTCTCTTTCTTGCCCTATTTCCCTGAGTAGTACCTCTGTTACTATGTTGAGGAGTCCTGGGAGCCGACATCCCTACATTGTTTCCAATCATGGGGGAGCTCCTTGCAGCCAGGGAATCTGGCCTGTTCACTAGCAAGTTTAGTGCCTGGTACATACTGAAATGAATTGATAATGCACAGGTGCACTGCAGGGATATTAATTGGTGATATATTTCCACATTTCACGTTTTTTTGTCTTTGTGTTCATACATAAAATATTTTATTTTTTTCTTTGGGTTGACATTCCCATTTGGTAAAACAACAAAACAAATATCAAAAGTGTAACAAGCAGGGCTAAATTCGAGTGTAAGTGTTGTTACCACCTGAGTACCTACACTGCTTTCTGTGTCAAGGTTGTTTGTGTTAATCACACTTTAGACTGCTCTAAAGTTCTCTGCGGGTTGCTGCAGAAGCCGTCGGTCTTTTCATTCCGACAGTTCCAGAGCATGCTGTAGCGAGTATCCGAGGCTCATATCTGAGGCTCACTGGGGTGGACCATGTGTGGTGGGCTCGGGCTGGGTCCCCCATGATGCTCTGTCACTTACTTTAGGGGCTACTCACCAGTGGAGTGGAGTTCGAGTCTCTTCCTGCAGCACTCTCCCTTCCGGCTGAGTCTGGGCTGTACCCAGTGACACTCGTTGGGGTCCCGCAGACAACTGGCATGATCACGGTGCATGGTAAGGACAATTCCTTTATGATTTCTGCTTGAGAAGGACTGCTGAACTCTTGTTGCCTCCTGGACGCCTGGAGCTGATCACCCATCACTCAGTCCTAATCTATTAGGTAGTGACAGTTTGCATTTCTTTGGGTGGTGCCATGTGGTAGGCCCCTGCTGTGCTCCAGCAGCAGTACGAGGAGTCCTCCCTGTGCTGGGGTGGTGGTGGTGGGGGGGCGCCCCTCCCCTCCCTCATCTTACTGAAGTCTTGCTCCAGGAAGTCTCCCGCTGCCCTGCCCTCCCTCCGTCTCAGTGGGACCTCTTCAGAGTTGTCCATATGCGCAGAATCCGCTTTTGTATCTCTGCAGTGGTTTTTAACCCTCTGCATCCTGGATTTAACCTTTCTCACATCACCAAAGCTCTTGTTGTTAAGGTCACTAGCAGTATTTTTCTGGCTAAATCTGGGGCCTACTCTTCAGTTTTTCTCCAGCTTCACCGTTCAGCAGTCTCAGACACCACAGCTGCCCCTCCTGCATGGTCTGTGCTGTCCTCCGGCTTCTGTGACACCACAGCTCCGAAATGTCCCACTGTCTCTCTGGCCTGCCCTTTTCCATCTCTCATCTTCTGCAGGTGCCGCATGTGCAGCCCAACCCTTCAAATAGGTGTCCTTATGCTCCACTTCTCTTTCTTTCCTTCCCTCTCTCTGGCTTCCTCTCCCTTCCCCTCTCCTTGCCCTCTCCTTGCCCTCTCCTTCCCCTCTCCTTGCCCTCTCCTTTCTTCTCTTTTTCCCCTCTCCTTTCTTCTCTTTTTCCCCTCTCCTTTCTTCTCTTTTTCCCCTCCTCTTCTTTCTCAACAAGCGATCTTAGGTGATCCCATCAATCCCATTGACACACTGATGATTCATAGGGCTAGATCCCCTTCCCAGACCTGCACCTCTAGCTGTCCCTGGGGTGTCTCGTGGGCATTACACATACAACAGGTCCAGACCAGAAGGCACTGCCTCCCCTCCCCAGGAGCCTCTCTCCTCGTGTCACATCTCAGCACAGGCTCACCACCAGCCAGTTGTCTGACATGGTTAATGGGATCATCCTGAACTTGCCCCTGTCTGCCACACACCCACATCCCATCCCTAGTGACTTTTCATCAATATTCCATGAGAATGGCCACTTCTTGTCTTGCAGATCACTACTGTCTCTTATATGGTGTCTCACAAAAGCATTAGTATTGGTATTTCTGCCTCCAGGCTTGCTGGCTGAGAAACCCATCTTCCATTCTACAGCCACGTGATCTTCCTGTAGTGCAAATCTGCCCCTGTCATCCCTTGATGGGAAGCCTTGGGCCTTCGCCTGCCCTTATTATCAAGGCTGAATTCCTTAGCATGGTTTTGGAGCTCTGTGTGATCTGGCCACTGCTCACCTCTGCAGCTTCCTCTCTGCCCCTTCCCTCCTGCTCAGTTACACTTTGGTCTCTTAAGACCTCTCTGTTCTGAAAGTGCTCCCTGCCTTCTGAGCCTCTGTTTGATTGCTTCTGAACCTAACCAGCCCCAACTTCCTTCAGTTCATAGCCTAGGCTCCCTTTCCTCCTGGAGACCTTCCTCAGTGGATTTGTGCTGACTTAGGTCTCTTGTGCTGTGTTCCCTTAATACTCTGCATGCTTCCCTCCTTCATGCCACTGTGTGATGTATTCCTTGAGAGCCTTTGCCTTGGTGGCTTTGTCTGTCTTGTTCAGCTGCACCCTCAGTGCCTGGTGCACATAGTAGGTCTTCAGTATGTATTTGTTGGCTGAAAGGACAAACATTCACTGGGAAAGGGCACTCACTGTCAGGCGAGTGAGGCAGGCATAATTGTTGGTTAGCGCGTGTTGTAGCAGGTGTTGAGGTGGAGCTATGCACACGGCTGGTGTGTGGGAAGCAGAGGCCTCTCACGGTAAGCGACCCTGATTCCTGAAGGCCAGCTAGGAATTATCCAAAAGAATGGGGTGGGCAGTAGGAGGGTTAGCGGGGCAGTAAACAGGGTGTAGGAAGGTAGAAGGAACAACTTGTCCAAGATTGGTGGTGAAAAAGAACATGGTACATTTGGGAGAAGTAGGGTGGTCAGAGTAGGTCGTCCAAGGCAGGGCGTGATAGTGACGAGGCTGGCAGATAGACAGAGGGCAGAGGTAGAGGGGCCTGTAGATTGTTCTCTGGAGGGCTGCGGGGGCTGCTGCCTTATTTGAGTAGAGGAGAGACTGGTCAGATGGGCAGTTCAGAGCCATCCTGCAGGTGCGGTGTGGAGTTGGGGCTGGAGATGGGAAGGACTAGAAGCAGGGAGACCAATCATGAAGCTTCAGCGACAGTCCAGGTAGAAAATGACAAAGGCAGGACCATAGCCATGGTTGGAGATCGAAGCCAAGGAGATCGATGAGAGGGGAAACGATTAGGATTGAAGGCCTTGACTCAGAGTAACACATAACTTGTAACGAATTTCTTAGTTGTTTATCCCTGGTACAGACTAGTTAGTGTTCATTTTTGGCATGCTTTATGCACAAAGTTAGAAAGGCTGACTCTGTGTTAACAGACATGACAGTGTGCCAACACCAAGTATTTGTTATCAGACTTCGAGTTAATGGGGCAGTTATTTTCAGCAGTGGGTAAGGAAAAGAAAACGACTTTAATTAAACATTGTAAAATAATGGTTGCTTAGCAAACAAAACCACAACATATCAGGTTTTATTGAAAGAAAATTATGAGTTGCATTAGTGCCAGATGTGGGTTTCTGGGGAGGAAAATATTTGCCAGTAAAAGAAGTCTTTGAAGAAACATACTTGAGAAAGGAGGGGATGTGGGTGCTGAGAACTGGAGTTACGCTGAGAGAGCAGCTTGAAGCTGGCAGAAGGTGAGGGAGAGAGCTGATGAGGCTGTGGGAGGGCCCTGACCCGCCCTGGAGGGAGTGGCTGGCTTCTGTGTTTAGTAGGCAACAGTTTAATGTGAATGTGGAGAGACTGTCACCCCAGGCATCTAGCCATTGGATATTGTTTAGTTTTGTTACACAGCGAATGTTGTTTATAATAATTATCTCTTGAAATTTCACAAGCCATCTTAAAGCTTTGCTTAAACAATTTCAAGTGCTTATCTAACCAATGGACTTTTTTTTTTTTTTTTGCATGGAAAATTTGCTAATCTTAAATCACAGTACTCATACACACACAGCAGATTTGCCTTATCACGCAGCAGCCGTAATGACAATAATTGGCTCTTGAACTTTCCTCTCTCAACAGAAGGTTTCAAAGCATTTTTCAAATACTCATTAAGTCACATTATGTCCTGGAAAGGAATATGAACTATCATTCTCATTTTAGAGGAGGATAAATCTGAAAAGCAAATTAGTAGAAGGATGAGACACTGATTATTAGGTTGTGCAGAGATTTGTAGTTTATAAGGACTTTCACATATACTCTTTCACTTGGACTCAGCCTTGTGAAATAGGAACATAGGTGCTGTTATATCCGTTGCATACAAGGACACTGGAGGTCTTTGGGGTTGAGGGCAGAAGCTGTGGGTGAGAACTAGCAGTGACAGGGTTAGCATCTGAACCCAGGTCTTGAGAAGAGGAGCCCCATGCTCTTTTCTCTCCTTTGGCCGTGGGCATGAGACACAAGCCGTGGCAGGTGGCATGAAGGTTTCATTTGTGTTCCAGGTTACCACACCACCGTCTTTGGTGTCTTCAGTGACTGTTTGCTGGATCATCTCCCAGGAATAAAAACCAGTGGCTCCACGGTTGAAGTCATTCCTGCTTTGCCAAGACTACAGATCAGTACTTCTCTGCCCAGGTAGCATGCACAAAGAGTACAGGCGTCTGATTGTTGACCAGAAATTGCTTTTATGAGTATTTTTTAGTTACACATTTTTTTTTAATGGCACAGAGAATCTGAATTAATCTGTAATTATTATGACCAGAATATGGATGAAGGATTTCTTTAAGATAACCAGTAGTCAATACGCTTTGCTTAAAGTGGATTGGAACAGAGTTGAAATCTTTCTTACCAAGATCAGAACAAAACTGAAATTAGCATTTGGAATCAATTTTTTTGAAAAACAATATTAGGGAATTAAAGAAAAATTCTTACCTTTTAAAAAATAGTTTTCTTGTTTTTTTTTTTTAGCATTATAGAAGGGCATAAAGAAGAAAGGGAAATAAGTCTCAGTAGTCCCAGAAGCAGTTACTATCTATGCTTGTGGTATTTTCTTCCCATGTTTTATCCATCCTTTTTAAAAAATACATATTTGAATAGTTGAGAATGTATGACATCATATATAGTATCATAAATTACTTTTTGCATAATGACATAAGCTTTTCTTCACACTTTTACAAGTTCTTAAAAAAAATTCAATTTTAATTGCTTCAAAAATAGTCCATCATAAAGAAATCTCAAAACTGCATAACCATTCATTTCCATGCTACTGCCATTTGGGATACTCTCAGTTTTTGCTCTTATGAGTAACACTTAATGGATATCCTTTTGGCCATTTTAATAAAATGTATCTTAGGTTTTTTTGAAATGTTTTTGAAGCCCGTTCATAGGCTTAATGGACCCTTTTCATTTGCCAGGCGCTGTGCTTGGTGCTAGGGCTAAAACTGTGACCATGGCAGTCCTGGCGTCTGTCCTCACATGAAGTTCTGTCAAGTGAGAGAGATGGACAAGTAGCCAAACCATCGCAGTGTGCTGTGCTCAGGACTCTGCTGGGGGAGGTCACAGGGCTTCAGGGAGGGCTTCTTCCAGGAGGCAGTGATGGGAGAGAGGAGGAGCTGGCCCTGTGCAGGGCCAGGTGGAGCAGTTTCCCGACAAAGGGCACAGAGGTGGGGAATGAAACAGAAAAAATTAACTCGAAAGGGATCATATACCAGATTGTAGGAGCTAAAAGTATAAAACTTTTAGAAGAAAATGGGAGAAAATTGTCATGACCTTGGGTTGGGCGAAGAATTCTGTGATGTGACGCCAAAAGCAGAATCCATAAAATAAAACATTGGTAAAGTGGACTTCATCAAAATTAAAAACCTTCGAGCTTCCAAAGACACCATTAAGAAAATGAAAGACAAGTCACAATCTGGAAGAAAATATTTGTACATTATATATCTGATAAAGAGCTTGTATTTATATATGGAACTCTTAAAACTCAATAATAAGACAACTTAATTAAAAAGTTGGCCAAAGTTTTGAATAGATATTTCACCACAAAAGATATACAGATACTAATAAGCAACCTGGAAGGGTGCTCAACCTCTTTAGTCTTTGTGGAACTGGTACCACAGAGATTCCAGTTCACCCCCACTAGGGTGGCTGGGATCAAAAGGTAGATAGTAGCAAGGGGTGTGTGCTGGTGTGCAAGCTGGGTCCTCAGGCCCGGCTGACGGGAGTGTAAAATGGTACATCCATTTCAAAAACACTGTGGCAGTTTCTGAAAAAGTTAAACATAAATTTACCATATGAGCCAACAATTCCACTCCTAGGTAGGTAACCAAGACAAATGAAAACATGTATTGGCAAAAAAAAAATTGCACATGAATGTTCATAGCAGTATTATTCATAATAATCAAAAAGTGGCAAGGACCCAAATGTTCATCAACTAATTAATGCATAAACAAAATGTAATCCATACAGTGGAATATTACTCAGCAATAAAAATGAATGAACTCTTGATACATGCTCCAATATAGGTGAATCTCAGAAATGTTAAGCTAAGTGGCAGAAACCAGATGCAAAAGGCCACACAGTATATGATTCCTTTTGTATGAAATGACCAGAAAAGGCAGATCCATAGAGACAGAAAGCAGATCAGTGGTTGCCTTGGCTGGGGTAGGAGTGGGGATTGATTGCAAGTATGTCCAGTGTATCTCTTTGGGGTGATGGAAATGTTTTAAAACTGGGTATCTGGGGCTCCCCGGGCACAGACTGCCTTGGAGCACATTAGCTTGAACAGCCAAACCTGCAGACTTTCTGCTAAGGCTTTGCCCGCCACGTCCCCTGCTGCTGTCTGAAGTACTCTCGCGCCCAGTGGGTGCAGGTTAGGGAGGACACAGGCCTCAGCCTGCAGTTTTAAGGCATGTGCTCATGGGCTTGTATGGAGCACCAGCCATGCGAACAAAAACACCAAGTGGGCCGTGGGAGATGTGGCCGTAAGGAGACAGCAGAGTGCCTGCTCCACACCTAGCAGCCCTCAGTCAGCAGCCCAGTGAAAGGCGGGGATGGCCTGGGGACAGGAATGCAGGGAAAGGCTCTTCTTACCAGAAAGGACCAGTGAAGAAAACAGTCTGGCAGTTGCTCTGTGCTTCCCTCCTTTTCTCCTCTTAGAAGAGCTTCTAGAGGTTCTGCCCATCCCCTTCCATTTTTATTGTCTTGTGGGTGCACTTTTGAGCAGGGGCTGCACATGTGCTATCTGGTGATGAGAAGACATGTGGCCAGCTTCTGCAGAGCATGATCACGGGGTGCAGAGAGGCTGCTGGGGCTCATTCCTACGGAGAGTCCAGGTGCTAGGGAGGGACTTCCCAGAGTTATTGAACCGCCTTGGAGTTAAAGTGTTTGCTATTTCTTATTTTTAAAAATTGTATATAATGTATATATTTTTCTAAAGTGATTTTCTGTAACGTGACTATTCTTTAGGTGAGTGTTGACTGTAATTAATCTATATAAATGCCCCTGTGACTGATTCATCAAATTCAGTCACAAGCATTTATTGATACCTACCATGCACTTTAGGCCATGCGCTATAGGACGAGCAATTAATAAAAATACCCCTGACCTAAGCCTCACGCCGTATATGAGCTCACAGTCTGGAGGGGAGATAGTCAGACTCACGTTAGTCAAATTTTCCCACTGCTGCTGTAATATGAAAGTGAGAGGAGGAGAGGTTGCCTCTCCCTTTTGGAATTTAGGAAGGCTTCATAGAGAATGTGATATTTAAATTGGGTCTTACTAGATTCACAAAAAGTGGTGGGAAAATCAAGCCAGGAAAAGTATGCTGAGAAGAGGGAACAGCACGGCAACTAAATAAATGAACGAATATAGATTACAGTGAAGAAGAACTGAACGCTGTGATAAAAAACTAAGCAGAGGAAGGTGAAGCGTCCAGAAAAGGCAGATCTGTAGAGAGAGAAAGCAGGGTAAGATGGCAAGTCCTGCTTTGCAGGGAGTTTCCCAAGAGAGATCTCTATGCAGAGGAGATGCGCAGAGGAGCAGAGGCCTGTGGGAAGTGGGTGGCATGAGGTAGAGAGCCAGGCCGGAGTCCCAGGCTCTGCAACGGAGCCTGGTGGGCGGGGTGCCTCGCGCACTGGCAGCAGGGGCTGAGGCTAGGGGTCCATGTGTACAGATGCATTGTTGGGTGGTCCTGCCATTTCTGGGGCCAGGCAGCCAGTGTTGGGATGTGCTACACAGGGCGAGGCACCTGGGAGGTAGCCATTAAGTTTGCTGCAGTGGGTCCTGGTCCCTGGCCTGTGTCCATTGCTGCTAGGATGCTTTTCTGTATTGTAAGGTGGCTCATATTTGAGATGATTATTAATTCGTTCAATACATATTTAATGAATGCCTACCGTGTGCTAGGTATCTGGCTAGGAGCTGGTAGCACAGATATAAAAATATCATCCTTGCCTTGAGATGGCTTTTGGTCCAGTGCGGAGGCGGGGAGGGCAGTGCTGCACAGAGGGTAGCTCTGCTCACAAAGTGCTCAGGGGATGCGAGGGAGGCCTGTAGGTGAACGTGGCATCTTAAGCCTAGGCACCAGCATAGCTGACTTCTGAAGTGTGAGGAGGAAATGAAGAGGGCTGGAAAGGTGGTGGGCAGAAGGAGCGTCATTCCTGGATGGGAAATGTGAAGGGATGTAACTCTCAGAGGCATAGAGGAGCCTCTTTTTTTTTTTTTTTTTTGGAGCAGCTGGCACCTTGGTGTTGAGCATTGTCTGAAGGGGCACAGAGGGGTTTTGGGTGGGAGGCTCTGGTGATGTTTGGAGTCCTGGATGTCATGGCTGCAGGCACCGATGGCTCTGTCTTGCAGCTCAGTCCTGAAGCTGACTTACAACCTATTAGGGGCCATATCCTTAAAAAAGAGGGTTTCGTTGGCATAGACCTCATACCTACCTTGCAAGGTTTGCCAGGTAAACCCACGTTCCAAACTGGAGTTCCTCTGAGCAGATCTGCCCCGTCTTCTCGCAGGAAACTGGACTTCACCCCTTTGCCTGCCTCCTCAGCCCCTCCCTGGGGGCCTTACCTTGGTCTGTGTGGGAGTCTCTACTATTATTTTCCTAGAGCTATGGCTTGCCCAGGACTCAGCCCCCTTTCAGTGCCACCTCGATTGTCACCAAGCTCCTCTGCTCATGAGGCATGGGACACTGTGCTTTGGGACAGTCATCTACCTGCGTCAGGGCTAGGCCCTGTGGCCACAATGCTCCTCTACTGTGAGTACCTGCTTCCTTCCTGCTCTCCTCACAGCACGAGAGGGCCTTGGCACCTTGTGGTTTGAAACACAAAGTAATTAATCTTGGCCGTGTTTTATTTTTTCATGTTGACTACAAACAGCTTTTGCCTGAGAAGGACTGCATGTTAAAAGATGGAAAGAAGTTATTTATAGTGAGGACATGAGTCAGTGTTTCTTCCTTGACAGAGAAAGTTTATTTCCTGACTCATGAACAACATTAAAGATATTAAAATGCAAAGGAATTCACCTTGATTCATTATGCTATTATTTTCTGAAAATTTGGTTTGGATATAAAAGTTTCTCTATCAGAGTCTGGAACCAGAGGCCCCAGGAAGTGCGTGACTGGCTCAATATGGCTGACTTGTTTTCAACATCGTCGACAGCAGAGGTGTGAGGCCTTCACTGTCTGGAGCATTCTTTACTGCTCTTTGGACCAGAACTTTGTGGGGATATGCAGCTGTCCTGTGGCATGAGAAACAGGACTTGGGTCTGACTCTGTGCCTCTGTGCTGTGACTGGGGCAGAGCTAGACTGAGGTGCTCATCAGAGAGGCTCCTGGATATTTGCTGGGGTGGCGTGGCTCCGAGTCTACTTACTTGACTTCGTGACCCATTTCTGGTTCAATTAAGCACACAATGCTGGCTCTTGTACATTAGACTGATTGTGGCTCTCTGTATCCTTCAGATACAGGAAAGAGGTAGTGGGGTACTAGATAAACCCTTCAGTTCCCAGGAAAAACGTTGACCCTTTCCCCCTTGATGACTTCTTCTAGCTCCCCTCTTTCTTTTGTGGCTGGCCTTCTCCGGAGAATTGTGCATATGTTTCAACCTCACCTACATGCACGCCTCTATTCATTGTCAGCTGGCTTTTATCCCCATTGTGTTACCAAAAGCCTTCTCCTTGTGGTCACCAATGACCTCCTTGCCCAGCAGTCTGTTTGCTGTGGGTGGGAAAGGAAACAACCAGGGTAATTAGCATTGTGGATTCAGTTAAAGTCAGTAGAACTCAGGCTTTCTGGGGCTGCCAGGGTCTGTCCTGACCAGTGCAAGGGAGGACCCCAGGGTGCAGCCAAGCTGCCCCGTGTCACGTCAGGTGTTCATGGGCATTGCTCATAGCTTTTACCTGTGGGATAGAGTCTATTGTATATACTTTAAATTTCTCTTTGGCTCTAGTTTTCATGGTATTAGTTGGGATGGTTCATATAAGTTTTCCTCTTAAACCTATGGATTTTCCCAGGGCAATTCTGAGCATGACATTTTTTAGATTTTGAGAGATCAACACCCTCATGGTTCATTTGAATTAATTCATTGTTTAATTTATGCCATCCATAATCCAGTAATTAAGTATTTTTATGTTTCATATACGCATGAGAAACTAAGGCTGAGTGATCACGTTTATAACATGCAAAGACCCAGACATGTGTGTGTGGGGAAAGCACTTGGCACGTTGCAGTTCACTTTCTCTTCTGCACAGCTAGGGACTGAATTCCATGTCTAAAGCCAAGGTTTCCTAGCCCCAATTTCTGAAATGCATGAGTGTGGTGATTCTTTTATCTGAATAGTTTTAAAATGCCATTGGTTTCTTTTCTCTTTCTCTTCTTTCCCTCTTCTTTAAATTTACTCTTATTATTACTATTATTTTAGATCTGCACATTCATTGCAACCTTCTTCTGGTGATGAAATATCTACTAATGTGTCTGTCCAGCTTTACAATGGAGAAACTCAGCAACTTATCGTTAAATTGGAAAATATTGGAATGGAACCCTTGGAGAAACTGGAAATCACCTCAAAAATTCTCACCACCAAAGGTAGGTATTTTATGCAGGTTTGACCCAAAGAATGTTTATATTGTTTCCTTGCAGAAGAGATGCTATAAATAACTAGTGTTCGGAAAATTTCCTCCCACTTTTAACGTGGAGCCATCATGACAGCGGTATAGCAGTTATGCACGAAGAATACACGAAAGAAAATGATGGGACAAAGCACATGCCTTTGTACCCCTGGTGCTCCTTACCAGGTCTTAACATGGATCAGATCCTCCGCAAAACTGAATAACAAACGAGAGAGAAACATTAGCAGGCTCAGAGCGTTACTGTCTGGGAGCCACCCCTTGACGCATCCAGCCTGGTAGCGTTCATTATGGCTTAGCGCTCAGAGCCTGTCGGCTCCCTCTTAAGGGTGGGTGGTATGTTTCCTGGTTTTGTGGCACACATAGCTTGGGGTCATGAGACCTGGGTTGAAATTTTGGCTTCACCATTTATTAGCTATTTGTCCTTAGGAAACTGTCATTACATGCCTCAGTTTCTGTATGGGTAAAAAGGGCAGGTAGTACTTATGCTGTAAAGTTGTTCTGAGTGGCATGAGGTAGAGTATGGCAGAGTGTCTAGCATGTTAGAGTCTAGTGAGTAGTGTTGATCAAAGGGGCATGTACTGTAGAGGAGGAGAGAAAGGTATCGAGAGTAGTAAGTGGGAATAAAATCAGGTAGTTTAATAAATTTGGAGAAATTATACAGGCCAGAGAGACCAGACAAAGAAAAAGAGGGAAAGCAAGCCAGCAGAACTTTGGGGTGTTCACATGCTTTTGACGTAGGAGTGAGGTGAACTTGGCATGCAGTGAGTTGATGGGTTCTGGTTAAGTCTCTGGTAAAGGAGGTGCTGATCACACATTACTCCCTGGCTGAGGGCTCCCTCCTCGTGTTAATGACATTACAATGGGAAAAACCAAACAAAGGGACATTTATTATAGGTAGAGCCACAGCTCTCTGGGTAGTTCCAGCTTGAAGGAAGCCCAGGGATGAGTTTGGGAGAATTTGCATGCAAAGAATTATGTCATGAGAGGGTTAATATGAGCTTGTGGTACTCTGGAGAATTTCAGGGTGTCTTGTATTACCATGTTTCTCCTACTGATTTTGATGGAAATCATGTGCATAGGAAGTGAAACACATTTCTGCACATCTGCATTATCTGGCCTGTTGTCCATGTTTGATTCTCTCCTGGAAGGAGCCTTGTGTGGGGAACAACTGAGGCTTATTCTTCTACTGATCAGTGCAAGTCGTGGAGTTGGAGCCGCTGAGCAGCCCGCTGTGCAGCGTGTGTCATCTGCTGTCATTCTTGCTCAGGAGCTTGGGTGTGCCCCGAGTAGGTAGTGGGGACAGAGCAGGAAGTCAGTTGTAGGTTGTCAGTACACAACTGACTTTATTTCTTCTCATCTTGAATCCTTCCTTTCTTTGTGTTATTTTCTTCCTTTTTCCCTTTGGTGCCTATCACACATTATGGAATGTGGAATTAACGTATATACATATATTTTTATATATTTTTTTTCTTATTGAGTGAGGTCATAGAGGCAAATTGGTATATGCCAAATAGTTACTAAAAATAAAAGTTGGATGGGTTCCTCTTCCCACCCTGCCCCTCAGAGTGGTTCTTGGGACTCCTCTAAGGCTTCACTTCTGCCCCCAAGAATGTGCTGGGGAGGTGGCTGCGTCCCCTGGGGATTTGGGATCCGCTGCAGGATCGTACTGGTAGTTGTTAACATGGCATGGTTTCTGATCAAAGGTGGCAGAAGGGAGGCGTTTTTATTCTGCCTTTTTTCTCTTGAATTCTCCCCCAAATAACAAAATATGAAAAAACAGTGAAAATAAAATCACTCCCCGTGAAACAAGGAAATGATTTCAACCCCAAGGAACGAACTGTCGGCTACAAGTGTAGAAGCGGGTCTGAGTGCGGGTGGAGGAGGGAAGAAGCTGGGCTCTTGGAAGACTTTGTCAGGAAAAGGTTTTCCCTAAGAGAAGGCAACCCAGCACCCAGAGTACCCAAATGATGAGAGCAAGGCGAAGGGGCCCGAGCGGCCCCCAGAGCAGCAGGGGCGCTGTAGGGTCTCTTTTCTGTACCAGGCCTCTGGCCAAGAGAGGTGGGGCAGGAGATGGGGAGCGGGGAGGCGATGGGGCTCACAGGCCAGAGAACCCGCATCTGAAAAGCTTCTGTGCGAGCCTCGTCCACTTTTTGAACAATAAAACCTGGGGATGCCTGCTTCTGGGACTCGGGAACTAGTGGACGGACAAGCAGCGCAAGCAAAGCCAGATCACACTGTCATGTGCCAGGTCCCTCCTCATGTCAGCCCAGGGCCAGGAGGAGACAAATCGCACCAGCCACTGGGACAGAACAAACTACACTGAACAATTGTCAACTGCGAGTAAAGCGTCTGGATGACTGACGGGTAAAAGAGAACTCTGACGTAACATGGAGGTAGCCTTGGGAGGACGCAGCTGCTGTCCTAGAGCTGGGACAAATGGGAAGAGGTTGGGGTTAGTGAAGCCTAGAAGCTTAGAGGAAGTACTTGGCAGCAGAAACAGACCTCTGAGGAGCGGCCCCGGCTTCTGGTGCTGGGGTCTCTGAGCTCAGAGGACCCAGACCTCTGAAGAGTGGTGTTATCTGGCCGATGCTGTCAGTCCACTTTGCAGTGCACCCTCTGTATTGTGCTTCATTTTCCTCACTGGAAAATGCTGCCTGGGTTCAAATCCTGGCTGTCACTTACTAGCTGTGTATTACCTTGGGCAAGTAATTTAACCTCTTGTGCCATTTTCCTCTTCTGTAAGATAGCACTAATAGTAGTACGTACGTCATAGGAATATTCCGAGAATGAAGTGAGATAATATTTGCAAAGTTCTGGGAACAGTGTTGTGTATTATAAGCACTCAGATTTGTTAGTTGCTATTCTGTTGCCACCACTGTCACCATCACCAATGCTACCATCATCACCACTGTCACCACCACCACAACCACCGTTACCACCCCCCCCCTCCACAACACCACCACCATCCCCAACATCACCATTATCGCTGCCACCACCACCACCATGACTTGCCATTGCCACAGACACCACCTGGTGAGCTGTCATGAGGACTGACATTTTGTGCCTCGAGTGTTTACCCACTTCTCTGCCTAAGGCTAGCCACTGTGTGACTTCTAGTGGCATAGACTCATTTCATTTGTTTTTACTTGGTATTTGAAGTTACGTTATCCATTCTGGTGGTGAGGGCAGGGTGTAATGGTATAACATTGGGGTTTTATTTTGCATTGTCCTGGTGACTGGTGGAGCTGAGCACCGTTCATATGTGTTTGGCCACTTGGATATCCTCCTTTGAACGGCCCTTTTCCCTTTTCCCCATTGCGTGTCTTCTTTTCTCTCTCTTCCCTGTCCTCTCTCCTCTCGTCTTCTTTTTCTCCCCCCTCCTTCTCCTTTTTCTCTGCCTGCCCCTCTCTTGACTTGTATGGCTTCTTTATATGTATTCTGGGCATGAGCCCTTTGCTGGAAATGTGCGTGAATATCTTCTCTCTATAGTTTCTTTGCCTTTACTCTCTTAATGGTGTCTTTGGATGAACAGAAGTTCTTAATTTTAATATGGTTCACTTAAATCATTTTTAAAAAATGTTTCTTTTTGTGTCTTATTTTAAAAACTTTGTGTACTCTTAGTCTTTGGGAAATTTAATGATATTACCTTAATTTAATTCTTTTCTCTCTCCACCCACTCGCCTCCCCACCCCAATTTTGGGACCAAATACATATGGATTAGGTAGAAAATGCCTTTCTGACTTAGAATACCTTCATCCGGTACTCTGAATTTAATTGATTGGTTATAGGGTTTGGTTGATGTTTGAACAAGCAAGCTAATATTGAAGGATATAAAATTATAGTCTGTATGGTAAAATCTTTTCACATCTCCTGTAATTTACTTTGCCTTCACAGCTTAGTGACCGGAAAATATTTTTTCCTTCTTTTATATAAACCTAAATGGTGTGCCCATCATTCATTACAAAACTGCTTGTTCTTTATGAGGCACAAATCCTCACCTGTTTCTCCCCTTTGGACATCCTTGACAGCTCCCTGTCGTCCCTGGTGCCCAAGCCCTGTGTGGCCTCGCCTCTGCCCAGTGCTTCAGCTCACCTTTCCCTCTCCCCTTAAACACTAGTTACACTGGCCGTAAGAACTAATGTCAGTTTCCTGAACGTCCATGCCGTCTCTTCTCCACTTTGGGATAAACCGTTTCGTCTCCCTAGAACTCAACTTGCTAACTTCTGCTCCTACCCTTTCGCCTCCTCAAGTTCAGTTGTTTATCCTTTGGGTTTCTGCTTACTTGTGACTTCTGGAAAGCCTTGCTGAGACCAGGCTCTTGGGTCCCCTCCTGTGTTGTCTCAGAGTGCCCTAAGGAATCACTGCAGTGGCCTGTACCATGGTGTGTTGTGACTGCTTGCTCACTGCTCTCTCTCTCCAACCAGGGTCTGCATCTCTCAGAGGCAGTGACTGGGTTTTCTCTTTTGTCACCAGGGCCTGGCTCATAGTAGGTGCTCAGTACTGAGGCTTTGTTGATGGAAAGCCTGCATTTATAGAATGAGGCGAATGGGAGTATGCCTGTCACCCTTTCTGGCTGAGTGGGTGAAATAAGTGAATTTGAAATATCTAGCGGGTTGCGTGGCTCCTCTCAGCTGCTCTGCTCTCCATGTCCACTTCGTGTCCGTCATGGCCTCTGCTCTTTTGCTCAGACTCTTCTTCCTCCCTGGAAAGACCTTCAGCTGCTGCTTCATTCTTTCAAGATCCAGCTTCTGTCTCACCTTTCTAGGCTATCTTAGCCTCTGGTGTTCCTTATGCCTTTGAACTCATTCTTTGTATGAGCCAACCCCTCCCTCCGCAACCTTTTATTATAAAAATATTCAAACATCCAGAAGAGTTGAAAGCATTTTTTAGTAAATACACTTATGCCTACCATCTAGGTTCTAAAGTGAACATTTTGCTATATTTGCTTTATCACAT